ATTATAAAGGAAATAGCTAATGCGTTTGAAAGCTTAATTTATGTACTACTAATAACTAAAGAAAAATATATTTCATTTGCGAAAAAGATTCAAGATACAGCTGTAAAATCAAAGTTTGGAAATTGCATACAGTTACGATTCATCGATTCATACAAATTGCTAAATACCAGTCTCGACAAATTGGCATCTTTTCTCAGTAAATACAAATTAAAAATTATCCGGTCAAAATTCTCAAACTTATCGGTCATAGATTTTAGGTTATTGACGCGAAAAGTTGTCTTTCTATACGAATACCTCGATTGTATGGACAAGCTGCAAGATCCGTGTTTATCACCGCACAAATCATTTTAGTTCATTGACGGTTGAGACAGTATCTGAAAGTGATTACGCGTACGCTGCGAACGTCTGGCAGCGATTCTCTATTCGAACTTTGGATGAATATAGCGACTTGTATTTGAAAACTGATGTCTTGTCATTTGCATATATTTTTGAAAATTTCCGCGATAGTTGTATTAATACACAGCTCTACAAAAAAAATTGAAAAAATGAATAATGAGGTCTGGTTATGTTTACTATATGTTTTCGAGGTCGCTGAATCCGAATCCGAGGTCCGTTTAACCCCATCACATCAGGATTTTTCATAACCTCAAAATTTAGATCAAAAACCCTTATTACCCCTTGAATTTTAAACCCCATAACTCCATAACCCCCGGGGTGCTTTTTTAGAGCGTGTTCCTCTTGCCTCACACGAATAACAAAAATAAAGTATTGTAAAAAATGAGCATAAATAAATTAAATGGAAATAACATTTAAGAAGAAGGCTATGTCTGATCTCCTTTTGATCGCTTATGATACCGAACTTGTTTACTTTTGAATGATCTTCGAAGTGATCGACGCTTACGTTTTTTACCATTCGCTACCGTGTCTCTTTTCAAATTCCAACAGTAATCAGCCATCATATATTGATACCCCATGTTTCTTGATATCTCTTTTCCATATCTTTCATGTCTTGATGGCACCTCTCTCCGTGTTATTCACTATAGTCTCCGAGTTTATCTGGAAAGAAATCAACATGTGAATGTAGAAAATGAAGTTTTATGCTCATGTTGCAACCCAGAGCGTGATAATTTTTCACCATCTCACTTACCAATTTTTTGTTATCTAGGCTTTTGTTATTTCCAAGAAAATTTGTGGAGACCTTGTGAAAGCTATTCCACGCAGCTTTCTCTGTGCTATTCATAGAAGAGGTGAAATTGGAATCTTTGAACAGGGTTCGAATCTGTGGACTATCAAAAACTCCTGCCTCCAACTTGGCTTCACTTAGTTTTGGAAATTTTTGAGCTATATACTTAAAACAGTTTCCTGTCTTGTCCAGGGCTTTCACGTATTGCTTCATTAAACCAAGCTTAAGATGCAGAGGCGGAATTAAAATTTTTCATTCATCAATAAGTGGAGGTTTAACTACATTAAAATATCCAGGCTTTAACGCTGCTCTTTTTGGCCAATTTTTTGTGCGGTAATGTTTCTTTTTATCTCTACTATCAAAAGAGCATAAAAAACATGGATACTTTATGTTTCCACTCTGCATACCTAAGACTATATTTATAATTTTAAGGTCTCCACAAATTTGCCACTGGTGATGAGAGTACTGTATTTTTTCAAGAACAATTTTCACGTTATCATACGTTTTTGTCAGTACTGTAGTATTGGAATAGGTGCCAGGACATTTGTATTATGCAATAATATTGCTTTGAAGCTACGAATCGAAGAATCAATGAATAAACGCCACTCGTCTGGTTTGTAAATGTTCTTCTTCATCATGTTAATGAGTCCGGGAATATTGTTACAATACACCAAATCTTGTGATTTGTCATGACTGAAAAAGGGTCTAAAATGTTTCTCCCTGTCTCTATATACTGTAATTTTGACACCTATCTCTACGAGATTTTTTTCTTTCAGTCTTGATGCTAGCAGTTCATGTGCCTCCTTTGACTTCCAACTCTCTACCAAAATCACTAATTTCATCTTGAGTGAACATCTCCGGTGACCCTTTTTCAATTCTATTCTTATCGTAACTCATGCTTGATCCCTCAGATTCATTCTCACTACTTTCCGATTTTTCAAAATCCGTATCATACTCATTTTCCCTTCCCACATCTTCCGTCTCTTCACGTTCTGTATCTAAATCTTTTTTCTTTGGACGACCAGACTTTATTGACGACCAGGTTTTAACAGCAGGAACGACTTTACATGTATTGGCATATTTTATATTTTGTTTGTTTCTGCTGTTGAATTCGCCAATATCTGTCTTACAGAAATAACATTCTTCGATAGATTCAGGCCTGTCCCATTTTACCGATGATGAATATGTCAAAGTTGTAAGATCCTTGTTATTATAGCATTTAAGTAACATATTATAACAATTTATACACACAACATCTGGAACACAGTTATCGTTAAAGTTCGCTACATTAATTCCAAAACAAAATTTGTAAGCGTCAATAACAGTATTAGTGATTTTTCTCTTGAAATTCGGGAAATGATAGGCACCACAGACATAACAAAACTGATTTGGTTTCTTCTTATCCACATGAATATGTTGACTAGATGTTACTTGACTAGGTGCTACTTGACTAGAAATAGATTCACTACCTGATTTATTAGATGATTGACTAGATGATTGAGTAGATGGTTGACTAGAAGAAAGACTAGAGATTGTTCTGAGTCTTGTGGCTTTATACCCTGTAGAAGCCAAAGTACCCACCTCTACAGAGCTGCGGTCGCTTGATGACGACGCCTGCGGGCCCGCTTTCTCACCCTGGCCAGCCGCCGATACTAAGGATCTGACTCTCTGCATTGTAATACACTTGCGTGTGCCTGCCATGACGGCATGAAAGCCGTAATCCAGGGACTCAGTCGGATAGCGGGCCAACTCCGTTGCCCGCCGTCACCGCGAGGAAGTGCCATGGTTGCAGGCACACGCAAGATATAATAGGTATTTAGCTAAACACTAGAATTTTATAGTTATGGAAATACGAAAGGTTAAGGAATTGAGAGGTTATGTATATATTAAGGATTTCACTACAATGAATTTATTCTTGTCGAAGAGCATATCCAGCCCAAATTTCGGAAATGAGTGCCGTATTGGAACTGTTGCCTCTTGCATTTTGAGGTTATGGGGTTATGGAGTTATGTGGTTTAGGGGTTGAAGGGTTGGAGGTTTAGGACTTAGGGTTTTTGGGGTTTTTGGTATGATGGGGTTATGGGGTTTAAAATTCAAGGGGTAATAAGGGTTTTTGGTATAAATTTTGAGGTTATGAAAAATCCTGATGTGATGGGGTTAATCGGACCTCGGATTCGGATTCAGCGACCTCGAAAACATATAGTAAACATAGCCAGACCTCATTATTCATTTTTTCAATTTTTTTGTGGAGCTGTGTATTGCTTCCTATTAAATATCGATTACTTCTAGTGACCCAGATGGAAGCGAATATGACAACGGCGGGCTTACGTAAAATTCTGAGATAGTTCAGGTGGCATCGCTGAGATAAATGATACGCCGATAAATGGCATCGCCGAAACTGCCGAGAGAACGTTATATGGAAACTTCAAATCGCTTGAGTCAGCGTTATATGGATTCGAGCTCCCTGAAGCGGTTGATTTCGAGAACAGTGCAACGGCGGCAATGGAGCTTAACACTAAACGTCAAATGACCCCTTTCAAAATTTATTTTAAAATCGTACATTCATTGTTATTTCTTTCGCTCATTTGACTTTCTGTAAATTCTTATATTATCTGATTATTCAATTTCTCGCTTTCTGTTTTTCTCTTAGCTTATTTTTTATAGCGAAACATTTTTTACCTACCTTACGTACCATGAGGGTCATTTGACCCCATACGAAGTTTACGTATTTTTCGGCAGTTCTCCAACTTGAATTTTAGTTCTAAACTTAGATATGCTTCTCAAGTGAACGTTTCATTTATCCGAACATGATATGTGTGTTTGGTTTCGGCGTGAGCACGTGGACGACCTGATCGGGTCCATACAACGTAACGCATACACAAAAGAGACCCTTATCGGAGATTCATAAGCATCACCCCCTCCCATTAGTTTTCTATAGTTAAAGGAAATAGAAATGCAGTCGTATATTGAGAGTCAGAGAGTAAAGATCAGAGCATATAAAAAATCAAGTTCGACAAGGCATAATAATACACGGCAGTTTCCGTTACATTGTGACATTGTGACAATTTCCGTTACATTCAATTGGCCTTGTGTTTTACTGTAATTCTGAATATGTCCGCACGGTCAGTGAAACAATTATTGGAAAGAATTCGAAAAATAAGTGAAGCGAATTCAGGCGGGGAATGTTCTATATCTGAAGATGAGCAAAGTAAAAGTCGAAGTGATTTTCCAGACAATGAGGAAAGTCAGCATGATGATGTGTTTGACGATGAAGATGAGAATGTTTTGAATGTCCGTAGAGAACAAAGACGCCGAAGATTTTTATCGGATTCTGAAAGTGATAATGAGCAGAATATTGAAGACATTGTAACGGCTCGTGATGAAACAGTTTGGCATCGAATCAAAGAAGGGCCGACAAGCGAGAGACCACCATTTACCTTTAAAGAAGTGTTATGTCCAACGGCACACGCCAAACGAAGATTTATGTCTGGTAAAGTCAAATCAGCATTTTCGGTGATAATAGATCATACCATTATTGACAGGATAAAAAAATGTACAGAAGCAGAAGCCTTACGAGTTTTGGGGTCTAAATGGGATCTGCCTATTCCAAAATTATATACCTTCATCGCAGTTTTATATGCACGTGGTGCTTATCAGGCAAAAAATTTATCTATTTCATACCTGTGGAATTCGAAATGGAGACCTCCTTTATTTTCGAATGCTATGAGCGCAGAAACGCTTTCTCAGAAATTTCGAGATTTCTCCGATTCAACAACAGAATGCAACGAATCCAACGTTTGAGTATGGACAAATTCGCTCTAATTTCAGACGTATAGAACAGTTCATTGAAAATAGCCAAAGTTGTTACAAGCCAGGCGCGGATCTAAGCATTGACGAGCAACTTTTTCCCAGGAAAACAAGATACAAATTTACGCAATACATGTCAAATAAACCTGACAAATTTGGAATAAAATTTTGGTTAGCTTCTGATGTTAAAACCAAATATGTTGTAAACGGGTTGCCATACTTAGGACGAAATAAAACATGACCGGCGTCAATACCACGGAGTGAATTTTTTGTCATGAAATTAGCCGAACCTTTCACCAACTTTAGGAGAAATATTACAACGGACAATTTTTTCATCACTGCATCTCTTGTTGCAAAATTGTTGGCAAAAGGGACAACATTAGTTGGAACAATACGTGCGAACAAAAAAGAATTGCCCGCACTTGCGAAAACGACAAAAGATAATTTGAAACTTTTTTCTACAATAACATATAAATCAAATGACTGTACGCTAACAATTTATAAATGAAAACCGAGAAAAAAAGTTATGATACTGAGTACCAAACATAAATCCGTCAAAACCAAAAACAATAAAAGCAAAACACCCGAAACAATCAGTTATTATAATAAAACTAAATTTGGTGTCGATATGGTTGACCAAATGGCGCGAAAATATAGCGTCAAATCCAAGTGCAGTAGATGGCCTGTACAAATATTTTTTAATATCTTGGATTTCGCTGGAATTAATGCATGGATACACTATCAAACAACTGGATTGAAGATATCAAGGCAACGTTTTCTGTTACAATTAGCAGACGAGCTCGTTACAAAGCATCACGAATTTCATGGAGAAGGAAAGGAAAACCAACAAAAAGGAACATCAAGCAGCTCCAACAATAATTCGCAATCACGGAAAAAATGACAAATAAGATTGTGCACATGCAATAAAACAACTCAAACTTGTATAATTTGTAAAAGATTTGTCTGCGGGAAATGTACAAAGGAGAAACCAATCATCCGTAAAAAATGTAATTAATTGATTATTTTGTTTATAGAAATAAAAATATATGTTTGATTATTTTATTAGAAATTAGAAATTATGTTGCAAATTATTTCCTTTAATAAATTAGAAATTTCTTTCTGAAAATCAACGTTTATTTTATAAGGGGTCAAATGACCCCTCATGGTAAGAATAGGTAGGTGTAAATTACCGATACGTTTAGTGTTAATTTGGCGACTGAAGCGGCAACCGCGGCAACAGACAACGAGGCTCCTGAGACGGCACCTGCGGCGACAGACAACGATGCTCCTGCGACGGTAACCGCGGCGACAACTCTGAAACGCATCATGCGACAATTCACGAATTCAACATGATGCTGCAAATAGTCTCAATTGCTGGATTTGTCATGTTAAAGCTCTTCTATTGTTGAAACGCGCGGAAACTCTACTGTTGTTAAATCGAAAATTAACGCGTCGATGCTCAATTCTCAGTCAGTACCCCGTTCTCGCGAGGACGATGATAACGTATTATACGAAGGCACCTTCCCTCGATACGACACCGGCAAGTACGTAGTTTGAGCGATCAACGTTTTAACCGGCAAGCCCCGAGTTCCAATCCATATCGATTTTGCTCGGTCGAAAATTAAAGGGACCAGAAGACGCATAGTCTTGCCAAATGCGTGTCGCGGTATCTCACTTTATACTGAATACAATCAGAGTAAATGAGAACATTGATGTTTTTGTTCATATAATGGCCTCAATCCTCGTGTCAATTCAAAGGACTCGAGACGATGGAAGTATCCGTGTTTCAGAATCCGTATGTCCGATGGATCACGCGAGCGTGTGCAACGCGCGGTCGATCAGAGCCTTGGTACATTCTACGAATTCGCGATCGCCGACGTTCCACACGATCCGTGTTGTGTTCGAGTGGTAATGTGCATGCGAACTAAACGATTCGTCATCGTTGCCATATCGTCCTCGTCAATGACCGACGTTGCAAATTCAACCTTAAATACACTGAGGTATCGCTCTGTATAATGGTCGACTCATGGATTGTGCGAATTATTGAGCAAGGAGGATCGCCCCGAAGAAATAATGACAAGAAAAGGCGCAAAACTTCATCTCTTGAAGCGGTCCTTCAGCGCGATCGTTCTAGTAACGCATTTGTATCCGACCACCACTAGGCGACTGGCGCACAAAGTTCGACTGATCAATTGCGGCATACTCCCTAGAAGCGACTTCAAAACCTCTGGACAAACTCGTAAAAACGTATGGCGTGTCCGACAGCGCCAGGTACGTTCATTTTCAAGGCTATAAGTATTACTTGAGATTGCGATTCAATAACTTCGATAAAGATTCCCTACTCGGTTCTCAAATTGTATGCTCTTTAGTGAAGGAATGCGTAACGGACATAAGACAATTCTAACCATGTTCGGCGACTCGTGATGTATAGTTAGTTCAACGATTCATTAAATGTAACGTTTCCTGATAATGTGCTCGATCGTTACTACTCTCACAATCCCCTTTCTTACCGAAACAAGTTTTAGGCAAAAATCCGACTCGAATTGATAAGTTAGACGCTGTGTGACGATGACATGGCCGCTCGAGGACTACGCAAATTTATTCACAGCGTAAGTATAGCCTTCGACGTTGGTAAAAATTCGACATTGTTCTTCAGCGTTAGAATGAAGCCGTCTTGTCTCTGGTCAAGAGCGCTCATTCGTTGGCTTGCCGTTTTGCGTTGATTCCGATTCGTCGCGGCGTCGAGAATGTAATCATGGTGAGCTGGATGCAGGCAGAACGATTCGCTAAGTTGCTACACATCGGATGTTTGGTTTACGCTTTCGAGGAAACCAACGGTTTGTCTCTGTCCGCCGTGTGTAGGCATGCGTTTCAGCGTTTCGACGACATCGCCGAGCAGAATTTTCCGGATGTGCGAATGATGAAGCGCGATGACAACGTAACACACTTCAGACAGGCACTGGTGTGAGACGGGGTCATCGGTACGGCGACTTGCGTATTGGACGCTGTTGCGCTCGAACACTTGCGAGCCAACGGACCGCTTCTAGAACGTACCAATCGCCAGGCTAGATACGTCAACAGAGTTCAAAAAGTCATTTTCCTGGTTGGCGTAGGTTGGTAGTAAATAAGCAAGGTATGTCCTAAGCCATGGGGCGCCGGGCGGGGTGCGGGGAGCGGGGAGCGGGGAAGAAAACGTATCTTCCCCGCTCCCCGCACCCCGCCCGGCGCCGGCTTCGGTTTCGCTCTGTGAGATGCCTTCCGTGTCGCTCCGCGACACACGCGCGCGCGTCCGATGACGTGCACATCGTGACTGAGGAGAAAGATGACGGTGAGCCGGTGGTTTATTCGCGGGGTGCGGATGACGCCGCGCGCGCGATATTTCGACGGCGCGATGATACATATCCGCGGGATATGCGATATGTGAAAGTCTTTGTTGGGGAACAGTGTGCGTATTTAAAAATAAAAGAGGAAATTGTTTTTCCGCAGGATGGGTGGTTTTGTGCATATATAACGATCGATGTGTGTGTTTTTTGCGGAAAAAATGTTTCCTGTTTGCGAGAGAGAGAGAGAGAGAGAGAGAGAGAGAGAGAGAGAGAGACAGAAAATAGATAATCCGTTTCTGTTTTTCCGGTAAAGGGGGTATATATTTCTAATTTTTCCGTCGGAGTGAATAGAAATATCTCGTTTTTTTTGTCGGATTGACGTGTTTTTGTGCGTGTGTAGACTGAGGGAGTGGTGATACAAGAAAGAGAGAGAGAGAACGATGGAGAGTAGCGAGTCAATTGAATTGTCACGTAACAAATATATGAAGAAGAGTATCGATACGCAGCGATGCGTCGTTACTCAGGAACAGCAGCAACGAGCCGATGTTGAAAGACTATTGCGATCGATCAAGTTTGACGACGACGACGATGTGAAGGAGGATGATCATACAAAAGAAAGAAAGACAAAGAAACAGAGGAAGGATGATGTAATAGTGACGATCGATGATGATGATGATGATGATGATGAAGATACTGTTAAAAATAACGAAGAGTTGGTGGAAGAGGAGGAGGAGGAGGAGGGAGTAATGCCGTTCACTCCTCTCGATTTGTTGCGCGAATTATGGTCGTTGGAAATCACACCGTTGCGTAATATTCGACTGATGACGGCCGCCGTGTGCAGCAGACAGTCGAAAATTAACGCCGTTCGAGACATTGCGAATGCGGATCAATGCAAAAAAAACCAAGCGGCCGCTTTGCGCGACGTGCTCGTGAATCTGCACGAATTGTGGCTGTCCGGCGGACCTTCGCGCAACGCTCCTTGTAGCGTCGACGACATGATAAAGATTATACGCGAGAATACACCGCGAAAATTATATTTGGCTTCTTACATTAACGGGATTCTCTCGGAGGAGAGTTTCTACGATTGGATCCATTATTACGAGGAGTATGTATCAAATATAACGGAGACCGCTGCTGCTGCCAATCGAGTCGATAATTATAATGCCGGTACGAAAGTGCCAGCGATAACGGATAAGAGAATTGTCGAGGAAAAAAAAAGCAGGAAGCAATAATGAAGATCGTTGAAGAGGGAGGAAGTGGTTGATTGGACGCATTGTTTAATGATTGTCGCAAGATCATGCGCGATTGCATGCAACAATATATCGCAAAGGTGGAGGATCGGCGCATACTCACGTTGAAATCACCGGGCGAGAGGGGCACCGAGCTTGTTCGTCTGCAAATTTACGACACCAAAGATATCTTAGGACGGGAGCCTCGCACTTGGTAGAAGTATGCAAAAATAAGAACTCAATTCCTAAGTTCAGGCAGTGAGCGTAAGAAATTGCTCATGAGGAATTTGATGGATCAGATAGCCGATGAATTGAGAGCGATACTGGGAGTTGTTCGTGAGAATCAACAACAATTTCAATTTCTCGATAATTGAGAGAGAGGTATGTATAAAATAAAATAATAATAATGATAATAATAAATAAAGAAGTTTATATATATATG